ATTACATTGTTATGTTTTATTGATTGTTTAAAATTCTCTATGCTAGTTCCTCATAATTACCCCCCTTCAAACTTTCATTTAGTTTTTCCTAACTGTCATGTATGTGCAATTTTTAATTTCTCCATTTTATGTTTGTAGACTGTCAACATTATTTTGTAGCCTGTCTTATAAACTGTCAAATCTGGTAATAGAATTGTCATTTTCTTGTCTGAACTGTCAATATTGTCATACTGAAATCTTTGTTTCGGTTCATTTTTAGGATGCTTTTTACCACGATGGATGCTACTTTACTTGTTATGCTCAAGGTGGATGGCATTTGGGATTCTGACTACATGTTCAACAACGTCCACACATGTGGTCTTCGTGTTAACTACACTGTTCAATATGCTTCTTTTATTGACTCCTTGAGTGGCATTCTTTCACAGTACAAACCTAATTACAACTTCAGGATTTCTTATATGCGAGATGGCTGCCCTCCTCCTATTACTATAAATGATCAATCTAGTTTAACATTTTATCTTTATATTAAGTCTCTTCAACCAGATTTTCAAAAGTATCCACTTTGTGTTGAGTTTTATCCTATTTCATCTTCACCTCCATTTTCTATTGATGTTGAACCTTCTGAGAATCTTGTCATTGATTCACAGCAACATACCCCTTATGAGAGTGTTGTTGTTTCTTCTTCCCATGTTTCACAGAATGTTGTTTCTTCTTCTAATGTGTCACAGCAACATATCACTTATGCTAATGTTGTTTCTTCTGCCCAACAACTTGCCTCCTCACCTGCACTTTCTTTTGATGATGGTCCACCATTTGACCAATCTGAAAATGTTATCCCATCTGGGTTAAGTTCTGGCCAATCTGAAGATTTTGTTTCTTGTGGTAACACTGTGTCTGCAACTGTAGAAAATGATTCATCTGAGGATAGTGAAGACAATGATGACATTTTAGATGGGGTTTTAACTGAATCATCTGAGTCCTTGTCATTTCTGCAAAATTTTGAAGTCATCACACAGTCCCATCCTACTTGTCTTCTTCTTCATGCTATTTACAAAAATAAAAAAGACCTTATCCACCATCTGAAGATGTATGCTATCACAAACCACTTTCAATACAGAACTAAGACCTCGAAGAAAATATGTTTGCATGTTAAATGCTTAGATCCTGAATGTCGTTGGACTGTTCGAGCTGTAAAACTACACGGTGTAGCAATGTTTCAAATCAGAAGGTAACTTCAATTTTCCTTCTTCAATTAACTTCATTGTTCATTATACAGTAGTTTATAAGAATGCCATGTTCTGGTGTCATTCTTATACAGGACTGCCAACTTCATATTACTTACTTGTATAAAAATGCCATGTTTTTGTCAATTTAGATTCCGTCCAGAACACACATGCTCTATTGATTACAGACAAGGGAAACATAGACAGGCAACTGCTAGTGTAATAGCAAATCTTATTGCACACAAATACCTTGACGCTTCCAGTAAACCATACCCACCAAAGCAAATTCGTGAAGATATGCTTATGCAGTATGGAATTTCCATGTCATACAACAAAGCTTGGAAAGCACAGAAGAAAGCAATGCAGCTGGAATTTGGTTCTGATCTTGAATCCTATCAGGTTTTGCCTTCTATGGCTCATGTGCTAGACAAGGCGAATCCTGACTCTGTGTTTGATCTAGTCACAGGGCAGGATGGTGCATTTTGTACATTTTTTATGTCATTTAGTGCATGGATAAATGCTTGGCCCTACTGCAGACCTGTTCTTATATTGGATGGTTCTTTCCTGAAGGCTTACTATAAAGGCACTCTTCTGACAGCTTGTTGCCAAGATGCCAATGATCACATCGTTCCTATTGCATTTGGAATTTGTGCTTCTGAAACGAAATCATCCTGGAAATGGTTTTTATCCAAAGTCTGTCAGTCCATAAAGTACAGACATGACTTGTATGTAGTATCTGATAGGCATAAAGGACTTATAAAGGCTGTTTCTGAAATCTTGCCACATGCTAGCCACGGTTTTTGTGTTGCTCATCTGCGACGTAACATGATACCTAAATTCAAAGGTTCTGCAGCTGGATTGGGATGGAAGTTTAAAGCTGCCTATATGGCAGCAACTCTTAAAGAGTATGAGGACTACTTATCGATGTTGGATTCTGAAGATCCCCGGATAAGGACATGGCTAGAGAAACTAGGTCCTAACACATGGTCAAAAGTAATGTCTGGGCCAAAGAGATATAATATTATGACATCCAATTGTGATGAATCTATGAACAATGTCAATGTCTGTGCAAGAGAATATTCAGTATCTAAACTTGTTGACTTCTTGCGTGAAAGGATGCAGCAATGGTTCACAGAGAGGAAAGAAAAAGCTGAGAAAACAAGTACTATACTCACACGGAAGTGTGAGAAACGTCTTTTAGCTTTGCAAGCTGAAGCTACACGCATGAGGGTATGTCAAAGCTGATTCTTTTACCATAAGTCAGTTCTCAGTTTTTTATGTGCTTATATAATTCCAGTTTGGTTCCATAAATCAGTTCTCAGTTTTTTATGTGCTTATGTAATTCCAGTTTGGTTGTCATTATGTCATTTGGTTCTAGAATCTGTCAGTTTTTTATTCCAGTTTGGTTATCGTTATGTCATTTGGTTCTATTATCTGTCAGTTTTTTATTCCAGTTTGGTTATCATTATATCATTTGGTTCTATTATCTGTCAGTTTTTTATTCATATTTTGTGTATTTCCTAGGTAAAACCATCATGTGCATATGAATTTCAAGTTGTTGATAGCAGATGCACGTCCTTTGTGGTCAATCTCAACTCTAGGAGTTGTACTTGCGGTCACTTTCAACTAGATCAGTTCGTCTGTGTTCATGCGGTTGCTGCAATTGCTATACGTCCACATCTGTCATGCTATACTTACATTTCTCCTTATTACACTAGAGATGCTTGGCTTGCTACATGGTCTGGTATTATGCATCCTATTGCAGATAGAAACAGTTGGTCCATTCCTGCTACTATTCAAAACCAACAATGCAAGCCACCAACTTGTATGAAGCGCCCTCCTGGTCGCCCGAAGAAATCCAGGATTCCATCCATGGGAGAATATAGAGGTTCAAAAAGACAAAGATGTTCTAGATGTCATGTGGTTGGGCATAATAAGAAAACTTGTAGGAATCCCATTCCAATCAATACCCAGTGATGTCATGGCTACTTCATTCTATTTTGTTTTTTGTTATTTTGTACTTGTAACTACTCTGTTTGGACTTGGTTATCATTTCCTTGAATGTTTAAGGTTTTGTGATTTACCCATTCTTGGCATTTAAGTGTTTATTACTTTTACTTTAGCCAATTACTTTGCCCAAAATGTCATCTCAATAATGTAATGTCATTTTTTTATAAGTAAATGACATATGTCAGATGTTATGACATTTGGTTTTCCAAAAATTGTCATGTTACTTGTCACTTCTTTGTCTGTTATTTGCTGCTTGTAAATTAAATTCAATGCTAGTATCGATCTATATGTAAATCATGTTGCATGTACATATAAAAAATTCTCTATATAAACTATCCACATTTTAAACATAATTCAATAAAATATATATCACTTTGGCCAAAATGGCATGTCAACATTGTGATATCATTTTGTTTATAGCTAAATGACAAATTTCAAACTCTACGTCATTTTGATTTCTACAAACTGTCATCTAAATGTCATTTCTGTGATTGCCATTTTACATTTTAATCATATGCAATCCAACTGACACAAGAATTTCTTCAGTTAGTAACAATGCATGCTTACATAAATATAAGTAGCATGTTGAATGCATTAACACAAGGCATCCACAATGTAAAAATCAAGGCATTTTTTGAACATAATTCAATAAAATGCATTTTCACAACCTCAATGAATGCAACCTCAATAAAATGCATTCTCAGAATGACATGTGATAGTGTCTAAAGCATATTTCATACATTCAAAACACAATGAAAGTTGTGTTCACCAAGTTTTCCATAACAAAGGTACTAGATGTGTAGATGTCATGAAATGATGTTAAAAGTACTAGTAAATATAACATAGTCTTCCAAAACAAACATAATTGTTTCGTTCTACAATCCCATTTCTTCATAGCTTCATTTCATTCTCTCTCTCGTTGTCTCCTCTCGCTATATAGCAGCAGTTCAGTTGTCATTTTTTCCCTAAACAAGGGTATTGCTTCAGGATATATGCCATCCATTTCCATCCCCACCATTAGAAATTCTGCCATCTTGAGCATGAAAATTCCACAGTTTCCCCTGATGCATAACAACAAAAGTTAAAAGAACTTTTTAAAATAAAATAGTATACTATTATACAATTTGTTTAAACAAATTTATATCTTCTTACCCATCATCTTGCTGTGGACATCCTTCTACAGGCTCAACTGCCAAAAACCTTTCACCCATAGGTTCCTCACCCATCTGTTCGTACACTTTGTGATAGTCCATTATTCTGGGCAGGAGGGCTGTTATGCTTCCGAAATAGGACCTGATATCCCTAAGTGAATCCCCTCTTCTGGCATTGGAATTGTAGACTCTTATCTTTCTTTGCTTGATATCTAGGACTAACAAAACCCAATGATTGCCGGTATTTAGAGGGAAGTACACATAGTCTGCTTTGCTCCAGTGTAGGCTGAAGTTGTTAGCACCTATTATGTCACGAACAATGTTTTCTTCTTCTGCTGACTTGTGGTATGTACAGTGCCCCTTTGATATATTGTCAAGCTCTCTCTTCAGTATTTGCAAGAAAAACGGCCCAGTTGTGGTGTACTTCTGTGCCAGTTTGTAATGCACCCTTTTCATGCCCAAATAGTACATTACTACCTCAACATGCTGTAAAAAATAAAATACAGATTTATCAATTACAAATTAAGTAAACTGCCTCTTAATGGCAATCTATACAAACACACATGTATATAAATGTACACTTGAGAGTTAGATTGACAAATATATAACATTTTTGCATGTACCTTGTCAGTGATCCATTCATGATTCATAAACATGTCATACAACCATGTTTTTGATTCAACTTTCATACAGTCTAGCAAGAACGGCTTCTGAATCATTTTGTCTTCATCCATTGTGTACCTTCTAGGATTTTTGCTTTTTTGAAACTTCTTCAACAATCCAACTTTGAGGTATTCTCTCACCCTCTCTATTTCATGATCTGGTGGGCTCTCTGTTGGATCTTCTGTGAAAGGTCCAACTACTTCCTTGAGTGGAGGCAGAAATTCATCATCAGCTCTTTTCTTACCCTTTTCTCTTTTCCTCCTCTTTGCTGAATGCTCAGATGGAGTGTACTTCACTGGTGACCTAGCAAAACGCTTTTGTTTGGGAAGATCCTCCTGTGACATTATAATGACACAAGATCACATAAATTACACAAGATGACAGTTTGTATAAAACAAAATGACATAAACTTTGAAATGTGTCATTTATCGATTAACTAAATGACATCACAATGTTGACATGCCATTTTGGCCAAAATAAAGTAATTAGACAGACTAAACAAATTGGAAAAACTTGTATAACTTATAAGAATAGTACAAAACATCTCTACAAAATAACGTGTATTAATACACTTAATGTCATAGTACAAAATAATAATAAAAATATAGGCATTATAATCAATTTTTAAACTATTTTCATGAACATATAGGTCATAAACATTGCCACTTAAATGTCATTTTTAACATGTGAAAAGGTCACTTGAATGTCATTTTACTGAGTTTTTGGTATTTACCTGGTCAGGCTTTACTATAATTGCTCTGCATGGATTAGAAGAATAGCTCTCAAAAGCCTTTTTTGCCACTTCATCTGCACTCTTGCACATCTCTAGGATAAACTGACTATTGTCCTGTGACCCCATACCCCAACCAGATTCAGCAGTGTCATTTTTATTTTCTTGTGCAGATAGTCCCTCCTCTTGCATTTTCACAGTGTCTTCTTTTTTTTTCTCACTACCTTGAGACTGAGTCAATATGTTAAACGTAGGCATGTCACAAGCTTCTTGTTCTTCTTCAGTGTTCTTCTCTTGCATTTCTTTTTCATTTTTGTCTACAGGAACACCACCAGCATTCTCAGTCTCTTCTTTAGAGTCCTCAGTCTTTGCATTAGCTTCCTTATTCACACCTGAATCGTCACTCTCAACATTTGCATCCTTTTTCTCTATACCAACATCCTCATTCTCTACAACACCATCCTTGTTGGTTAGATTCTCACCCTCATTCTGTACAACACCATCCTCAGTCTCCTCATGCATATCAACAACATCATCATCCTTCATCTCATGCTCCTCATCATTCTCAGAATCTTGCCCTGTCACGGCAAACCCATCATCTTCTTTTCCATTAACATTTTCTTCTTCTTCTTCTTTACTTTCTTCTTCATCGATATCACCCTTTGCACTTGCTATTGTAGGCTCACTCTTCTCAACACCCTTTGACATTTTGTGGAGCATCAGAATGACATCTTTAATAAGAGCCTCTTGCTTTTGCTGAGTCTTCTTAATATTTTTCATTTCTGCCACTAATCTGGCAATCTCTTTGGCTTGTTTTCTCATGCTTTTTTTGAGACTCTTGCTGTCTTTGCTCATGAAAACTACATATTTCTCTCCATCACGTCCACCGTCAGTAGAATCATCACTCTCAGTCTCTTCTCCTTCAGTACTTTTTTGCTCACTTGAGTCATCATCACTCTCTTGCTCCACCCTAGCCTGCTTTCTTCTTTTAGAAGGTCCTTCTTGAGATTTGATTGCTTTACCAGTTCCCTTCCTTCCTTTTGTTGTTTTTCCTTTGCTTGCTCTGGGCTGCATCACCTTTTCTTTCCCTTTTGCTACAATAGTTTTTGGCTTTTCAGCATCAACTCGGCCAACATTGTTGATGACAAGGTGCATCACCTCCTCATTTATTTCATTTCCTTCTTCAATCATAGCAATCTCATCTGCAGTTGGTACAATCTGCATCCATTCAAACTAAACCAATAGACTATGTTAGTAAACAATGTGTGCACATAAACATTTAAAAATTTACATACCAATCAATAAAATACCTTATCATTCTTGAATATAATTTCAGAAAGCACCTCTAGTGTAGGTTTTTTTTTTAAATTCCCACTTTAGAGTCCTTGGCATGATGTGTTCAGTCCCATTCATGACCTTGCACAAACCAGCCTTTGCTAAACCAGGAAATGTTTCAAATGCCCACCACTGGAATGCCACCATGAAGCCAGGGAATGTCACTCGATCTCCTTTTCCTTTATCTAGTGCCTCACAACTCTGCTTCACCTTGTTAACTAAATCATCCCAAACGTCATCACCCCATGGATAAGCATTGAATGCATCCAAATCATTAACTAGGTTTATGTAGTATGCCTTCATTGGTCTAGCAGTTTGATTGCCAAACAAGCAATGTGACAGTATGTATAGCAGTGCCAGTTTCACTCCATCCTTTGTCAGTCTGCTCTCATTAGTGCTCTTGTAACTCTTCAATGCATTCTGAATATCTGCACGAGTCACAGTTGTCTTGGATCCTAAATAATTTGTCCATATATCTCCCTGAAGCTCCTTTGAAATATTTGGCTTCACAGCTCCAAACTTTAAAGCACACATTATTGCCAAATCATGCTTCTGAAAACTGATGACACTGTCTTTAATGTGAAACCTGATGACACTGTTATCTGTGTTTCCATTAACTTCAGTCACAAAGTTTCCAATCAATCCCAAAAGCAATTGTCCACTAAGCCAAGGCATGTCTTCTATTCTTAACATCCAACCAAAGACAGTATTGCTAAACTCTGTCAATTCCTCTTTGCTTAGATATGTCCTTATTTTCCTAAGAACCTCAGTAATATTGCAGTAGGAGTTGACACGCAAGTCTTCCAACATCACCAACACTGATTTCTTAAATGCTCTTGTTATTGTCTGTCAAGATTACACAAATATAGGCATTTTAATCACCATGTACAAAATGACTAATAGAAATCACACTGTAATACAAAATGCCACCAAATGAGCTCATAAAAACCAACTAAACTGTCATTAGTTCTCAATTTCTCAGTCAATGTGATGCTATTTTGGGTTCAACCTAACAGATATGCATACAATGTCACTATTTATGGCAGAATGTCATGATAATTTGCATATATATAAGGTTACAATGCCACTACATAACCACATATTCATGAAATGTCAATTTCATGCAAAATGCCACCAAATGACCTCATAAAAACTTACTAAACTGTCATTAGTGCACCAGTTCTCAATTTCTCAGTCAATGTGATGCTATTTTGGGTTCAACCTAACGGATATGCATACAATGTCACTATTTATGGTAGAATGTCATGATAGTTTGCATATACATAAGGTTACAATGTAGCTACATAACCACATATTCATGGAATGTCAATTTCATGCAAAATGGCACCAAATGACCTCATAAAAACTCACTAAACTGTCATTAGTGCACCAGTTCTCAATTTCTCAGTCAATGTGATGCTATTTTGGGTTCAGCCTAACGGATATGCATACAATGTCACTATTTATGGCAGAATGTCATGATAGTTTGCATATACATAAGGTTACAATGCCACTACATAACCACATATTCATGAAATGTCAATTTCATGCAAAATGCCACCACATGACCTCATAAAAACTTACTAAACTGTCATTAGTGCACCAGTTCTCAATTTCTCAGTCAATGTGATGCTATTTTGGGTTCAACATAAAGGATATGCATACAATGTCACTATTTATGACAGAATGTCATGATAGTTTGCATATACATAAGGTTACAATGTAGCTACATAATCACATATTCATGGAATGTCAATTTCATGCAAAATGGCACCAAATGACCTCATAAAAACTCACTAAACTGTCATTAGTGCACCAGTTCTCAATTTCTCAGTCAATGTGATGCTATTTTGGGTTCAGCCTAACGGATATGCATACAATGTCACTATTTATGGCAGAATGTCATGATAGTTTGCATATACATAAGGTTATAATGCCACTACATAACCACATATTCATGGAATGTCAATTTCATTCAAAATGCCACCAAATGATTTAACAAAAACTCAGTAAACTGTTACTATCTAACAACATTGTCATGTTATCAGATGTTACTAAACATGTCATTCACTTTACTCCAAATGCAGTAGTATTCATCATACGAGATTTGTTTCGAACTCCTATTTACACTCATCAAATTAAAAAATATTTTCATTCATCAAATTTGCTTCGAACTCCTTTAACTGCCAAACAACATTCAATTTCAGGCATTCTGATAAGAAAGGAGTACGTACCATTTCGGAATTGATTCTGATGCGAACTGTATTCGACAAATCCAACGGTTTCTCCTCCATGGTTTCGTCCTTCAACCGTGCTCAACCAAGCGACTCTCCTCAACAAACTTACTCTCCAGAACGTTTTTAGAGTGATTTTTGAATTGTAATGCAGTTAGCGTAGACTGACTGGCTCGTTCAAACGGTAAGACTTCCGATAAACTTCATTTAATTTGTGGAATCTTTTTTTCGGCGGCAATGATGGTGGAAACTTGGAAACCGGGAATTGCCGTAATGGGAGATGGTTAACCGTCAATGAGCTCAGGGTACGTGTATCGGTCGGTTAGGAAGGTCATTTTTGGCATTTTACCGCATAATTAGTCCTACGCGCTTAAGTGGAAACGTGGGTGTCCTACTTTTGCAATTTCTATAAGGTTTAGTCTTATTTGTGTAATTTTCTCAAAATATATACGGAGTATTTTGGTTCCAGGCTTTAGTCCTATTTATGATTTTTAGGCAAGTGTTAGTACTTCCTAAAAGCAATTACTATAATTACAATATGAAGCTAAGTTAAACATCAATATATCAGGTCATTCCCCAAGTCCAACACCTTCCAGAGTAATTAAGGTTTTGTGATAGATGTCCCTTTTCCATAATCTGAAACAGACTGAAAGAGTTAAAGCATAGAATTTGAAGTGAAACTCTATAGCTACTTTCTTAATTGGCATTTAGGTATTTAATTAAGAACTGAAAAAGTGGCCCGTCGTCGTGCTCATCATACGCTATATCAGGGGCGGATCCAGAAAATCTAGTTATTGGGGGCACCATATAATTACTAAATAAAAGAGTAAATAATCAGTTCGGTCCACGAAGTTACATAAAAAAAGTCAAATAAGTTCTTATATAGGAGATTCTATCCGGCCGTCGCCATATATAACAAAATAGGATTAAAACATACGGAACATATAAAGTTCTAAATTAGGATAGATATGTTCTCTTAGTAAAAGATGACTTATTTAGTACTGTTAACAGATATGTTCTCTTCGCATAATTTTTATTTTTTGGGGAAGGAAATAATAATATTCTTATTTGAGAAAATTGTTAGAAAAAATATCACTAATATTACTTCTAAAAAAAATGATGGACAAAAATGTGACTTTATGTAACTTTTAGAGACTATAATTGGTTCAAATTACTATAATGTAGTGCTTGTGATGTAAATTTTGAACACACCTATAGTAACTAATAGTTACCAAATCACATTTTGTCCATAACTTTTTTATGAGTAATATTTTCGAAAAACCTCATCAATTTGTTATATTTTAATACTATTTTGAGAATATTCATTACATACAAAAATATTATAAAGTTATTATTAACTAAGAAGGAAGTAAATATATAAACTAAATATTTGGTTAGTCTATATATTTACTTAAAGTCTAACCTAACAACTTTTCTAATTGTTTTTTCTTCAACTAGGTTTACACATATCCCTAAATAAGTAAATAAAAAAAGTCCTAAAGACGTACGATTAAAAATTTTAATCTAAGTAAGCTCAATTTTATGCTTAAATGAATCATGACATTGTACTTACTAATTAATTTTAGTCATATCTCTATAAATATATTTTATTTCAAAAAAATTTATGAGAAATTAAACCTATAATTAACACCCCTTATTATGAGACTAAAGGCAGAAAATCAAGTAATTTTAAATCTTAGTTAGTCGACTGGATAATTGACAAATCCAATTGTTAAGTACGTGTATTTTTGGAAAACTGTTTCGATAGTAACTAATCTTGCTTAACTGTACTGCTCAACCATTCTTTTTTAGGTTTTAGAAATTAGAATAACATAAGGTTTAAATGATAGTGGACTTTTACAAAAATAAGTTTCATGGCACATGGTCGTCTCTTTGCAACTTTTGAATCATATGGTTTGATGGGGGCACCCAAATTTTTTGTTGGGGGCACTATTAATCATTGACAAAAAATTAAGGAAAAATAAACTAGAAAGCATAATGTTATTGGGGGCAAGTGACTCCATTGTTTAAAGGGTGCATCCGCCCCTGCGCTATATATTACTAGTACAAAAATGTCCTTTTTAATTAAAACAATAATATAACGAAAACGACCAGTCGACAAATACCGTGTATGACTAGCTTTAATATTTCAAAAAAGTGAAGGTATGCTGGCTTTTGTTTGAGAAATAATGCTGGATTTATTATAACTAAAATGGAGTTAACAAACAAAATATAATTGATTATGCTTTAATAATTATAAGTTTATAACAATAACTTTAGAAATTATGGTTATGTTCAATTTTGTACTCGTATTATAATGACTATGGTGTTATATTCATGATAACTGCAATCATATTTCTATCCATTTGTTTTATTTCAATAATATTTAAGCAAACTCCGTTTTATTCAATATTACTTTGCAAAAAAGTTTTTTCCCTACGCTAATTTGTAGATAACGTATCTGGTTGGGAACTAAAAAGTGTAGTTAGTGGGAAGAATACAAGTCGAGGGGAAAGGTAAAAGAAAGATTGACTTTGAACTGTCCTCCATTCGTGGGTCTCTGTCACATCTATTTTGCTTGGGATAATATGCCGTAGTACAAACGATATTGACCGTGGAGCAAAAACTTGAAGGGATCGGATTATTTTTAAGTATCTGCTCAATGTTAATGCTAATATTTTTGAATTGCGAACCTGTGATCTTCTCATTGGGAGTGTCATAGTGATACTATCAGACCACAAGATACTACTTGGCCGGAACATTTTTAATGACACAGTCAATTATTCATAAAAGGGAAAACTGTCAAATAGGTCCTCGAACTTTCATAAAAAAGTCAATTAAGTCCTTCTATAGGAGACTCTGTCCGGTCGTCGCGATTTGGGGTGGTTCCCGGTGGAATTTTTTGATAAAATTTTTTGAGCATCTTATTCATCAAGCCTAGTTTACTCATACCAAATTTCAGCTAAAAATTTAATCGAGAGCGCATTCAAATTAATTAGAGAACGCAAAAATGCGCAGTTATCTTCAAGAATTAATTTGAATGTGTTCCCGATTGAATTTTTAGCTGAAATTTGGTATGAGTAAACTAGACTTGGTGAATAAGATGCTCAAAAAATTCCACCGGGAACTGCCCCAAATCACGACGGCCGGACAAAACCTCCTATAGAAGGACTTAATTGACCTTTTTATGAAAGTTCGAGGACCTATTTGACAGTTTTCCCTTCATAAAAAATGAACCAATTATCATAATGTAGTTGTTAGGAAGGGTACTATGCATACCTATGGTTGGTGGCAATTTCATAATTTTGATGAAAATCGTGGTCTCTCTTAAATGAGCATTAATGTAAATGTGATGAGCATAAAACCTATTTTATGAGTGTTAGGAGCCTAACAATAAATATCGTCATCTCTGTTTCATATCTTCCAATTCAATTTATTTTTATTATTTTTTATGTATAAGAAATTCTTAAATTATGTCTATAATCAATTCCAACTAATTCAATATAGGGTAAAATAATTAAAATACCCCAAACTTTGAATGTGTGTGAGTAAGCGCCCCAAACTTGCATATGTAATTTAAATACCCCAAACTTTGTATAAAAAGTTATTTTAGCACCATGGTCATGTATTATTTCTTTCAAAAATGTTAATTTTTTGTGCTAATTTCATAATTTAAAATATTTTAACATTCATGAATATAAAATTAACATTCTAAACTTCTATTGTAAATAAATAGTCGCCCCACTCTATTTAATTGCAACGTTTTCAATTTTCTATTTTAATTATACAATTAAAACCAATTTAAAACCTAAACCCTAAACCCAATTAAAACCATAAATTTACATTTTTTAAATAAATATTACTTGATGTTAAAATAACTTTTTATAAAAAGTTTGGG